CACGGTTGTTTTTGATAAACACGTGGATGACGTCGGTCTCGAAGAGGAGGGCTACCGTAGTATTGTCGATGACAGTGACCAGGGAGATGCAGAAAGAGTACGCTGTGAATGTGGCGAAATGAACATTTTGAGTGTAATTTAATAGGTTAAATTCTTATCGGAAATTGATTGTTAGTCAATTAAATTATCATAAATTTGGATTATTTGAATATTATTAACATAAAATTGATTTGGATTTAGAGTAGAAAAGGAATAAGCAAAACTACAAACAGGACACTGTCCTTTTCAGGGCTGGGATCTATAGATCCTATTTAGATGTTGATTTGGATGTGGGGGGAACCAGAGTACCCGGAGAAAACCCACTTTCAGTGAGCAGGCGCTGAATAATCTACCTGCCCAGTGCCAGAGAAGCTGAAAAGGGAAGGCATTCTTGTAAATAGATGGTAAATGAAAAGCTTATAGTTTTGTATGATGGTCTATTTGTTTAATTAAATTAGTGGGAGAAAGATATTTTTGCCATGTGGCTGGGGCAGTGTAGGAGAAATTCTTGGGCTAGAGGATTTTTATTATAAAGCAACCAAACGCAAGAATATTTAAGCAGATTCTACGATATCCCACCCTTCAAAGAAAAATAAATTAAATTAGCCGAAAAATATGGTGTATAGGTCGGAAGTCTATAAGCATTTTAATAGTATTGTCCTGAAATGATTGAATTCTATTTGATAAAGTACTTGACATGTTGCCGTATTTGAAACGTAGACTAATTTAGTTTTTATAAATGGACATTCAATACAATTAACGTTAATAATAATGAAATAAAAAAAACTCAATCAAGAACAACAAAACAACTGTGAAAACCTATGCCAATCACTGGAAAAAGTAAAACCTGACCCAACTAAATTCTGGCCAAAAATTTAAATCAATAAGTATAACAATTCCATCAATCAAATTCTGTACAATAATATCAATGCCACCTGATGCCCAACAAACATTAACAATAATCTTTACTTTCTTACATGCTGAAGCAGCAGTCTAGCATATTGTTATAATGATACTCTCTGTCGCGTAACAATGTTATTTTTCTCATAGCAACTACTACTTAGAAACTTACAAGATTTTAGATGTTAAACTAGAAAGAAGCGTTTTACTTAAACTGAAATATGAATTCAAGAGTGTGCGAATATGTTTGCGCGTTCCTTGTAATATTTCTGTTTCATTTTGTCATCACAGAAACAGATGTTAGCAGAACATTGTTATTAAAAAATGCGTTATCGAAAGCAACAACATGCAATTCTGAGACTAACATCAATAATCCAAGTATTGCGATGACGACAAACTACATCTCCCGATGGCATGTTATGATATGGAAATTGACCAATGCTGGTAAGAAATTTTCTTCAGCATGAAATTGTGATTGCCTTGTTGTTATCCTAAACGCTCTGTGGTACGAGTTTCTCTACTTACACCAATAGTACTGACGACAATCTTCTTCGAAATGTTTTCTCCTTTTGCTCTACATCGTTTAATTATTTCGCTATAAAATGTCCTTCCTCGTTACGTTCATTATTTAGTGTATCATAAATATGCGACACAT